TAGAAGAGAAAATTAAATTCGGCTTCTACTAGTGAAGAATTGAAAACTGAAGAGGTTGAGACGACAACCACACCATCGTCGCTATCAAAGAAGAGATAAAGATGGAAGTAAAAGAAAATGTGGAGGTGGTGGCCTAGATATGATCGTTGATGGTGGTGACACTAATCCATGAAGAAATTAAAGGCCGGAGTGATCAAATATCAAATTAAAAGAAAATAATAAAAAATTAATTTTCCAAGGGGTAATTTCATTTTTTTGTCATTTTAAAATATTTTTCTTTTTTTAGTGTCATTTAATAGAAAAGATTATTGATTTTGGACGGAATGACTCTTTAATAAAATGAAATCAAATTTCAAAGACTATATACCTAATAGTAAAAAATATAAGAACGATAATTTTATAAAACCCGATGGACGAAATAATTTCCTAATGAAATACATGTAGACCCATTCCTTGAGAATAAGCAAAAATCATGGGTGGATGCATGGAGGGTACCATTTTCCTTGCATGCACCCGGCCGGATTTTCAAATTGCTTGCTAGTTCGAGTCTTCGTTTTTTTTTTTCTAAAAAAGAAATATTATATTCATTCGTACAGTTTTGCATTATGCATGCAACGCATGCATTTTAAAAAAAGATATAACGAACATCGGAGAAATAGTTTTAAACTAAAATACGTACTTCAAACAAACTTACAGGAATTTTAGATTAAGCTGTTATTGCTAACAGGTGATTTAGACCCATCAGCAGCTAATAATTGATTTCAGCTCGTCATAGAAACTAATTAGGAAGAAGAACTATAGCAGTTAACCCCCCAATTTGCAGAACCATGTGTCAATTTGTGGTCCATGAAACCGCTAAAGCAAAAGTAAACTAAACGAATTTGTATGAGCCAAGTGGCAGTATAATTGCACAAGCAAAACACCCAATGATTGCGACCTTGATTCGTGCTTTCCAGGGTATTATAATTTAGAGCTTTGCCACGTGGCAATTTGTGCATATTTACAATGACATCCTTAACGTGACATATGTAATATTAAATTGATAAAAAAATTTTTAAGGACATTATAGTCTTTCAGAACTTGACATTAGTTATGCCAAAAATATTTTGGAATAATTTATATTAGAAAATTAAAATTAATGGAATTTTCTTTTTTTTAATTAATAATACGAACTTAAATATCAATACCCTGTCTATTATTTATATTGTTCTGTAATTTATATTAATATTCAGATGCATTTTCCATTATAATATATATATATATATTTTTAATTACTTTTCTAGATGAATTTTTGTGTAGATTATTCGTTTATAATTATTTATTTTTCTTCTTGTCAAAAATGAAAATTGTTTTTAATTAAAAGTTATTTATGTACCCACTATCCTTCACAATACGAGGATATTTATAGATATTTTAGGCAAAAATGTCACTTCATACGAGAGAAATTACGAAGAACGGATCAAATTTTGTCAAAATATCACCACTCCTGTTCATTTTCCACCTTACAAGCCAGCATCAATCAACACTTCTACATAAATAAATAAAAAAAAAAGGAAAGAAAAAAAACAGCTTTTTCACCGCTTTCTTTGTGAGCCTACATTTCACACTTTTGTCATGATTCTCATGAATCTCATTACTCACTGAGTCACTGCTACAAAATGAAACCAAATCAAATTAAATTAAACCAAACCAACCAACCAACCAACCACCCTTGCTTAGCCTAATGGTCCCCATACCAAACCATAGGCAACCAGGAAGTGGAACACCTGTCAACGAAATTACATTCATATCCTTCATGTTTGACACCTGCTCCAAGGGTTGAGGAGTCCGCGCATTCTTTTGGCTGATTTTATCCCCATCCCCCCGTCCCCCGCCTTTCTCATCAGCAAAATAAAGTCGGTGCCACCTTTTTTTTTTTTAATATGGGACCAGAATAATAAACAAATTGGCAAGGGCATTATGGTCTTTTACGCCAAAGCTTATCCAAAACGGTGGGCTCCTGGAATATGCCACTCTGCACCTTTTGATGTGAGTAGAGGTATAGACTGATTGGCCAAACAGGGAGGTGGTAATTAATTTAACCACAACATATTTAATTAATTAAGATAGTACTTATTCAAACATATAATAATTAAGATTAAGAAAGTGCATTTGCCACTTCCAGTGACTTTGTGATACAACCAAATTTTACTTAAATGATTCAATACAAAAATGTTAGTTTCATATAAAAAATTATTTTATATTTGTGTTCCTAGATAAATATTTAATTTTAGGTAATATAGAGGTCTTCTTTTATATTGAGATAACTCCAAAACTCTATCTAATTCTAGCTTACTCTCCCAAAGCCTTTTATAAAAAAAAAGGGAGAAGAGAAAATATGGAAAAAATACAGTAAAGAAAGCAGCGTTTTTTGGTTTTCACTTCACCGCCTTCCTTTGTGAGGCCTATCAACAACTGTTTCAGGCATTAATTCGCGATACATAGATTTTGCCTCTCCAGGAGGTGCAATTTAGTACTGGATATATTTATACTTCTTACACTATAGAGTCTTAACCCTGCTACAAAAATGAAACCCAAACAGTCAACATCTAAAAAAATAAAACGCTCCTACAGCAACGCAACCTTCTCAAAGCTACTTTCACAAAGACACTCCATGGTCAATAGATCACACGAAGGAGACCGAGTTCGTTCGACCTCTGACAGTGGCGGCTACAGAACAGCCAGCACATATCATGATTTGGTCGATGACAAGCCCTGGTATTGGGATATACAGAATATCTTCAGGATGAAGCCTACCGCCGGAGGATCTAAACCAAAACTGATCAATCCGGACATTAAGAAGTTATGCATCCGGATATTATCTCACTGAGGACGTTCTGTTAATCAGAGAAGTTGGAGCGGCCTGCACCTTAAGATGCATTGATGAGGAGAAGCTCAAAAGCCATCATGGATTTCCTTACACACCTTGCTTAGCCTAATGGGTCCCCATAAAATGGGGGAGTCTGGTCCACCACATGCACGGGATAGCCTTGGCTTTCGAAAAATCGCGAACTTGGTTATTACTGGGGTCCCGACCAAACCATAGGCAACCCAAGGAAGTGGGAACACTGTTCAAACGAAAATTACATTCAAACTATATCCTTCTATGTTTTGGAAACATCGCCATAGTCTCCATGAGAGGGCTCTGTGCAGGAGAGAGGTCACGCGCGCAGCATATACGTTTGCCATCGGAGAGGTCGCTCAGAGATTTTTTCATTCTCCCATCTGCTAAGTCACAAAGACCACCCAGCCGCTCTCCGGTCCGCCTAACATCTGAATCCCATTCAATACATACAAACATAATGGGCCAAGTTTCGGCTCACGGACTTGTCAGGGGCATAGATGTGAATGCGGAAAAATACCACGCTGAAGGCCTCACTACACGGCCATCCAATTCTATATTTTTCTCTTCTTTTGTTATAGCTGATAATAATGGAGTGACCATTAAGAATTCACATTAAAAAAAAGATGGTTGAGTTCAGGAGGGCATCTCATGAGGTCTCTCTCCTTCACGCTATAATATGCTCATATGCCATATATATATCGATGAGTGGCCCTTCAATGAGGAGGATAATGGCAACCATATGGCTTTGGTTCACGTACTAACATAATCTTGGAACGTTGTAGTAAGTTAGGCTGGGATATGAACGGACTGGAACGACCATTTTGGCCAATAACACAGGGAGCAGGTGGTAATATGAATAATATTTAACCCCACAACAGAGTAATTAATTTGGTGATCACACTTTAATCAAGGTACTAGGTGATATTTCAAATCCATATATTATTATGTTGAAGAGAATTAAAGAAACACGAAAGATGGTCAATCATATCTCGCCTTCCCAGTGAATACACTATTGTGTATACCACACCCACTCCAAATTTTTACTTAATGATTTCAATACATCAAGAGAGATTCGTTAGTCCACTTCAATATAGAACAAACGGTATGTGTGCTATTGATTTATTGGAGTAGGTCTTCGCACAATAGTAATAGAAATAGTGTTTAAAAGTTGTCTAATGAGGTATATTTATATTGTGAGCTCACAAAATGAACAATTAGATAAGCACATAAAGCCTGAGCAATGAACAGTTAAAACCTGAGAGATATAAGCTCTACTATTGGGGGTAATATATAGGTACTTATATACTAAATATCAGAACGCCCACCTAGTGGAACGACAAAACACTCGCTTGGATCTAAATAATAACTTTAAAAAATAATATAATTGTGTAACTTGTTGAATAAGGCTTACGTAAATATATATTCTTTGCGCTATTGTGTTTTAACTATCACTGGAAGTTTCAGTCTCGGTTTAAACAACGAAGATACATATATATACAAAAAGTTATCAAAAAATAAAAAATAAAAATTGACTTTGTAGTTCAAATTCTTTGTTTTTTAACTATCATTTTTTTAAAAAAAATTCTATTCCCAGCATCTTTTGAACTAATTTTTATCATTTTAAATAAATTAAAATATTTAATATTGCCAAATAGACTCTATATTTTCTATATAAAATTATTTTTAAGAATTTTTGTAAACACATTAAATGAGTAATTTTTAGGAAAAGTAATAATCAGATATTGAGTATCTAATTTGGATAATTTGATAAGAAGGTAAATGATAGAATAATTAATGCTTTTACCATAAAAATAATATCCTTTTTCTTCATCTTATTTTTTTATGTCCTTTTGAGATGAAAAAGTCCATGAAGCTTGATGTATGCTTTACACAACATATAATTCCCTCACAATTAATTTATTAAGCGATAATCAAAACCTAATACGCAAAGCGAAAGCGATCAGCTTTGCTAGGAATCCACGTCGGCGTGATTTCATCTGTGTGCGCACTACGCCCGTTAAACATTCCGCGAACACAGACAAAGATAAACACACATTTACTTTGTAAAATTTAAATTTATCATAAAAATTAAAAAAATTATTTAAATGAAATAATAAATTAGCATATATTTAGAGAGAGAAACACTACAAATAAGCAAAGAAGCAGAAAAACAATGCCTCTTCTCTCCCTTCCTCACCAAAATCGATAATTTTAATTCTTCTTCTGAAATCTGCGTCTCCAGTATAAACCCCTCGTAACGTAAAAAACACCTAAGAGAAAATCGCCAACGTTCTCTTCTCTCTCGCATTTTGCTTTTTTTATTTTTATTTTTATTTTTTTAGTTTATTTTTCCTCATCAAATGGTGGTTATGATGGAGGATAATGACAGTTGTGGCAGCAGAGCTCACGATACAACAACGACGTCTTCTTCTTCTTCGCCGTCGACTACGATGTCAGTTACACAGGGACGGAAACAGAGACAGAAGTTAGAGGTTTACAATGAGGTTCTTCGTCGACTCAAAGAGTCCAACAATGAAGAAGCTAATCGGCCTGGCTTCGACGACGAACTGTGGGCTCACTTTCATCGTCTTCCTACTCGGTACCTTTACCTTTCCTTTCATGCGTACATTTTTATTTGCTTTGTGCATGTGTGTATATAGTTCTCCGTTTTGTTATGGCGATTGAGGTTTTGCTTGATGGATTTCAGCTATTGAGATTCGCTTATGGAATTACGTTTTTTTTTTTTTTTTTTTTCACGGGTGAAGAGTTAGGTGCGGTTCACTTTCACGGTGCGTCTTCCTACTCCGGGAGTAACCGCTCCATTCTTGTATCTTGAATCCTTTTCTTTTGCGATGGTATTTTCGTGAACTTTTATATTTCTGCATCTTGTGCATGATGTTCTCACTATGTTGTATATCTTCCGATTTATTGCATATGAGTGAGCAAGAAGATATGATGGTTTGGGTGTGGTGTCATTAGTATATGGAAGCTATATTTCAGGCTCAATTGAAATGTATATACGAATGCATATATACGTACAACTTTAGGCTACGGTCTTTTTTGTATTTTTCTCTTTTCTTTTTAAATATGAAAGAAAAAAAAGAAAATCTCTGTATTGGTATCAAGGCATGATAATAGTGTCATAATAGGAGGTTTATAGCGACTCTGTTTGGTGTGGCTGCTTTGGATTCCTGATGTTTTTGGTATAAATATTACACGGTAAGATAAATAGAATCACTTTTATTATTTAACAATTTCATGCTTTTCGATCTTGATGACCTAATAAAGTGCAGAAACTAAATATTGAGGAAAAGGAAGAGTTAAACATAAAGCAGAGAATATTGAAAAAAAATAAAAAATCTCCTAGCATTACAGCTTGATTAAGACTCCCTCGAATTATGGAGGCGGCTCGTTTTTTTTTTTTTTTTTTTGAAAGAAAAAAAAACTGTTGAACTAAGTCAATAGAGGTTTAATGTGTGTTGTTTATGTGTTTTTGTATCGGTAGTTAGCTTATTACAGCTTTGAAGATTTAAGCAGACTTTGGAAAAATACTAGCGGATTTGATATATTATTTACACCTTGTTTTGATTACAACTATTAGAGAATTTAGGGGGTTTAATAGGCATTTTAAGCGTTTATACTATTCTCTCTCTCTCTTTGATTGGTGTTTTAAGGGCGTGATCTTATGTATTGCAGATATGCACTGGATGTGAATGTGGAGAGGGCAGAAGATGTGCTTATGCACAAGAGATTACTGCAATTGGCTCATGATCCTGATAATAGACCTGCTATTGAAGTCCGCCTTGTGCAGGTAAGACTTGATTCAACGATTTTATAACTAAGCATTTGCATTGCGAATGATTAATTAGTTAGTTCGATTTTGACCTTTACATTTAATGATGCTTGGTGCTAGGAGAAACTATTAATTCTTTTATTGGAATGCCTGCATGTACTTGGTATTTGGAGGTTTACACACGGAAATTTCCCCTTTCTTCTTTCCTTCAACTCTCTTTATCTGATTCGTAAATGAAAGTTACCCTTTGAGGAAGATGTAGATATTTTGCTTTCTCGATGATGTTTAAACTTTGTTGTTGTTCAGAATATACTTTCTAATGCCTGTCCTTTTAGGCTAAAAGAAGCACTCATAATATCACATTGAAGTTGGAACCTTATTTTACCTCCTTCCATTCCAGATTCCTTGTACATGAGAAAATGAGATTTTTCTTTTCATTTAGAATTGCAATACTCATTCGGCTGCTAGCCACAGGACATCTGGGCTGTAAAAGTTATTGAAAGCACTAAGTTGTAAGCATTGTGGTTGGCTTGATTCATTGATCATGATAAGAACTTTTGTTTTGATTCTAGCTTGTAGTAAGTCACATTTTGTGCACTGGAGTTGACTTGGCTCGACTCAGATGAAGTTGTGTAAATCAGAGTTTGACCTCAATTGCTCAGCACCCAGCACATCTTTTTTAATTTTGCCACTCTTAAGTTCTGTGATCCTTAGGAGATCCATTCTGTTATTACATGTTACTTTTAAGCAGTTATAGTTGAAAATAACTTTTTACTCGAATGTTGAAAAACCATAAAGTGATATTACATAATGAATGATGCTGCCTGAACTTAGTTTGACATTATATTCTTACCATGAAGTCACTTTCATCAGCAACAATCAACAGCTTAATTAGTACTGGGATTGCTAGAATTGTTATGCATGTTGAGTTAGCTTCAACTTGTTTGCATTTCAATGTTGGTTAAGCTTGGGAAGCAAAGATTAATAATAATAATAATATATTTCCATGTGGAGACCAACTGGATGATTTCTCTTTTTTCATTTTTATGTTTTAACTTTTTCAGAAGTGGTAAATAAGAGAAATGATTTTGGTGATCTTTTGTGTATACCAGTTTACTCTAATGACTGTATTCCACCGTCAGCTGGATATTCATCATGAATTATTTATCTATTTAGCTGAATTCTTCAAAGTATATTTTTTGCATCTGTTTTTGAATGTCTTTGGTCCATCCTAAATGCTTTTTATTACAAGATGCTATAGGTTGATATGAGTTTGTGTTTTCTAGACCACAGAAAACTTCATTCCTTGTTAGGGCGTTGTCAATCTTATAGATTTATATGCTGAAGACAAGTTTAATTCAGATATCATGTTCACTCTTTTGCTTACAAGTTATGTAGGATGGTCTGAATACTTTCCTTAATTTTATAGTGCTCAAGGTAACAAAGTTGACAGCAGCTAGTACAAACAAATTAGAAGTAGATAAAACATTGGTATTGTCAATATGGAAAAGTTTACTCTTTCATAGATAAAATTGCTACATTTACTCTTTTGAGATAAAATTATTTAGTCTAAATTTAGTAGTAAACAACAATGCAGCAGCATAGGTGCATAAAATCCTTTGCTGGAAAATTTATTGGCAAGATGGGAAATTTTCTTCTCTTTTCAATTTTTATTATTGTTATTGGAACTAAAGCTGTCACTTAATATTTTTTTTTTGTGTGCATTAATATTTTGGTGAATATTTATTCATTGATGAAATCTTTGTGGTGCTTGAAATGTATTCATGAAACTTTGTGCACTTTGAAATGTATGCCAACTGCTCTTTTTCTCTCTTAAGTGCTTAAGTGTGCATCTATGACTAACATTTTTTCTTGTATATTAATATATGGTACTTGGCACTATTTCATGGACAATATATTGCCAATAGCCTAAATATTGTGTTGATCTGAGTTGTGAATCAGTACGTTAAAAGTCAAATTGATGTGCCTGCCAATGGAAATTTTTGTTTTCCATCTCCTAACCTATGTTTCTAACCATATAAACTTTGAACTATATTCCCCTCCAACACTCTCATACTCTAGGACCCGTTTGAATTTGTTTATTTCCAACTTCGCTGAATGGACCTCTGATTTGTGGCTCAATTAATTTCCTGTGCAGGTTCATCCTGTTTCTGATGGGAATTCAGCTGATTCTAACCTTTCAGAATCTCCTTGTAAAGGAACTGCCCAAAGTACTAGAAAAAGGTGTGATATTCCCCATTAGATCATTGTGTTTTCTCCTAGAGCCCAGTGAATATATGTTGAATATGAGCTAAATTTATTGATTTATTCTATTGTCTTATTTCCCTTGTTGTGGAAGCCTTAGAGCAAGCTCTTGTCAAGGCTCCCTGAATCGTGTTTTTTCGCGTGTACCACACGAGTTACTCGTTAGGAGACAATGGCCATACGCGCTTAAATATCTTTTCCTTAATGCTTTATATAAGTCGCCCTCACGGATGGGTCACACTAAAATATTGTTCTGGACCCACGCAGGCAATAAGTACACAATTAGGACAGATCGCCAAGTCCCCGAAGCTGGAGTACCAACTTGAGGTTTTATGAAACATAAAGAAATTTAAACTAAATAAATGTGGTAATATAAAAACGAGATCAGCTCGCATATGGCGACTCACAAGGCTTCTATCGGTTACCTCGTCGTGTGTGTCACATAAGCTATGAAAAACGGGATCATCGCCTGAACAATTTAAATCTCTTTTCTATGACCGTTATTAACAGATAGTGCACTATTAAGTGTCATAAATTAGAATTTTAGTAGGTAAACACAGACCAAGCACGACGCAGACATTACGGTGCAAGATCACACATAAGTCCTTTGATGTGTCTGCATGGAAAATTCTATGTGGCACATGGAACAGATGTTTTGGTACAAAATGGTGGTATCCTTCTGGCTTATCCATTATACTTCTCATTCATTTATTTGCTTTTGTGATTTTGGCCTGACAGGAACTAAAGCTGTCCAGCTGGGGTAATTTTGATTGTTTTTTTATAGTGTGTGCATGTGCCATCCATCTTTATTTTTGAGGGTAGACATATATCTATAAATAAATTTTCAGATCGTCAAAATTAAGACATCATTTTCGTGCGTGCCTTCTTACAATTTGTATTCATGAGAGACTCCGAACCTGGTGATAGTACGGACCAATTCGTGTGGACTGAATGTATGCCAACTGCTCCTCTGGTTTTCTCACACATCTGTAAATGTGAGCTTGCTTAAGGCCCATGTTGCAAAAATCTTCACTATAGAGAGTCGTATTTTTTTTTAGCTACTACATATTACTCCATACTTGGGATGACAGGTTAGAGCCGAATTAGGATTGAGTAGAGGTAGAGACAATTAAATATTCGCATTTCCACGCCTAAATTTATTATGATGCGTTGTTTTTCGAAGACATTTTTTTGGAAGAGACTGAGTCTTGTGAATCAGCTCTAAGTTCCAGTCTGAATATGCATTTGTCAAATTTGATGTGCCTGGCCCTGTTGAATTATGAAGGGAAAAAAGGTTTTTGTTTTCCCATCTGGACTCTAACACTTCTCTTTTTAAATAGATTATGCATAACCAATAAAAATGGAAGAAAGAGATGGATAATAGAGGAGGTAATGTAGTTCTCCCTCCAACACTGTGGACATCAAAGTGACTCCTAACCAAGAGCAAACAACACGATGTTTTGGAAAATTAGGAGTGATATATGATTATTTGTGATCTGCTCGAAACTGAGTCGCGGCTCGAGAATGGAGGAGCCTGCCGATATGATTTGTGGCTCAATTAATTAAGTTGACAGCAGCTAGTACAAACAAATTAGAAGTAGATAAAACATTGGTATTGTCAATATGGAAAAGTTTACTCTTTCATAGATAAAATTGCTACATTTACTCTTTTGAGATAAAATTATTTAGTCTAAATTTAGTAGTAAACAACAATGCAGCAGCATAGGTGCATAAAATCCTTTGCTGGAAAATTTATTGGCAAGATGGGAAATTTTCTTCTCTTTTCAATTTTTATTATTGTTATTGGAACTAAAGCTGTCACTTAATATTTTTTTTTTGTGTGCATTAATATTTTGGTGAATATTTATTCATTGATGAAATCTTTGTGGTGCTTGAAATGTATTCATGAAACTTTGTGCACTTTGAAATGTATGCCAACTGCTCTTTTTCTCTCTTAAGTGCTTAAGTGTGCATCTATGACTAACATTTTTTCTTGTATATTAATATATGGTACTTGGCACTATTTCATGGACAATATATTGCCAATAGCCTAAATATTGTGTTGATCTGAGTTGTGAATCAGTACGTTAAAAGTCAAATTGATGTGCCTGCCAATGGAAATTTTTGTTTTCCATCTCCTAACCTATGTTTCTAACCATATAAACTTTGAACTATATTCCCCTCCAACACTCTCATACTCTAGGACCCGTTTGAATTTGTTTATTTCCAACTTCGCTGAATGGACCTCTGATTTGTGGCTCAATTAATTTCCTGTGCAGGTTCATCCTGTTTCTGATGGGAATTCAGCTGATTCTAACCTTTCAGAATCTCCTTGTAAAGGAACTGCCCAAAGTACTAGAAAAAGGTGTGATATTCCCCATTAGATCATTGTGTTTTCTCCTAGAGCCCAGTGAATATATGTTGAATATGAGCTAAATTTATTGATTTATTCTATTGTCTTATTTCCCTTGTTGTGTATTTCCCTTAAATGATTATCAGTAGTAATGTTTACATTTCTAGTTGGTTTCAATGGTCAGCATACATCCGCCACCTGCCTTTGGTTCATCACCTAATCTTGAAGCACTTGCACTTGAAGCAAGCAAATCTGAAAAAGAAGATGGTGATCATTCTGTGCATGCAAATTCAAAATTTCCTCGGTAATGTTCTTATCTAAACAAGTCCTTAGGCGATAGTTGGCTAAGTTTTATCCTGGCTGCATAGTTAAGCAGGGCATAGTCTGCTTCTTGGACTTGACAATTGGTTGATTATTATTAGAGGAAATAAAGTTTCATACTGTGCTGAAACAACCACTGCGCCATTGCTACTTTTACTTTTTTCCTGAGGAAAGGTCAGGCGATGCTGGTAGTCGGGATAATGTGTTTGCGTTTTCAGCTGAAGCAATTCTCAAGTACAATATTGCATGCACTTTGAAAGAGAGACATTTGTTATGCTAGTTCTTAAGTCATCAATGTACTATGAATATATCACTTGACCTTGGTTATGCTATTTTGCATGTTCTAATATTCTGTTATTTAGATTCCTGATAATAATTATCAGTTACTTCTTTTCACTCTGGGAAAACAATCATTTTAATTTCTATTTCATTGTGTATGTGATGCAACATATTTGAAATGGAAGTGTAATCTGATTGAATTTGTCATCTTCAGTTTTTAGCATATGTATATATGCAACAATTGTATGCATATTTTTGTTTCTTGAAATGAATATGATTGATCTCCCCATTTTTATCAAGGCATCAACTTAGTTTCAGGAATATTAGTGTCCTATATCATGTTACATTAATTCATATGATATCCCTTCTATGTTGTACTTTCAATGGATTTTAATGAAGTTTCTATTCTTTCTGTAATGCATTTTCTAGGCCCATGCATGAAATTACTTTTTCAGCAGATGACAAGCCAAAACTTCTTAGTCAGGTAAGACAGTGTTGTTTGTCAAGTATTTTTAACTATTCATTTTTTTTTTTTTTTTTTTTCTTCTTGGAACAGGCCACTGGCGTTCCACTCTTTTCTAGAGTTTCACCTTATGCTATATTGAATAAGTTACTTTTTCCTCACATTGGGCAGAGTGGAGCAAGGCAACACACACATCGTGTTCGTTAATTACAGCTGTCAAATATATGACAGGTGTTTATCTGTTTTTTTGCACGATATTATTTAACTATTGTCATGTTTATTTAACATTATTTATTTTTATTTTTGCCTGGTTTTACACCCCTGGTGGAAGGATTTTGTTAGGGTACTCAATAATCTTGGCTATTGTGAGGAGAGTTATTAGCCCAATTCACTTCTTTGGGTCTACTCTTTCATGCATTACCGGTCCTCTCCCTGTAATTATTTTTTTTTTTTTTTTTTTTTTTTGCTGTTATTGTGAAAAAAAAATTACAGCGCTGGGAAAGAATGCTACTGTGGGTTTCAGCACTATGAGATTTATTAATTTGTTTGCATTTCAGACGGTTCAGAGAAAAATCTCGGTTTCCATCAGGGTGTAGACAGTCCTTTTTCCTTCTTTTGGCAGTCTTTTGCTTGGGGGTAAGAAGTTCAAAGGCCGGCGGGCCTTGCATTTAAGAGAGAGGTGAGGTGGCTTTCAAAACGACGGGAGCCATTTTTTTTTTTTTTTTTTTTTTTTTTTTTGAAAAAAAAGCTGAATGCTCTTTCAGCATATATTTTAATGTTGCAAACCAAGATTAGGTTTATATTAGCTCCTGTTTCTCTCAGCTTGCTGGTAATGTTGCATTTAAAATAGCAAGAACTACTTTTGACAATCAATATATCACTGATATAATTAGTCATTGTTATTTGTAAATTAGTCATTGAAAAAACCGCATTTAGAATCTGTTTGACATTGCTACTACAGCTGCTCTTCAGAAAAGTTTACGTAAGGATGTTTTGTTGAAAGCAATTAATTATTTATTCAAAGGTACTTTTGGCATGTTTTGGCCATGAAAAAACCTCTAAATCAATCTCAAATACAGTTAGAAATTGCTTTGGTTGGAAAAGAATCCAAAATATTTCCTGTTCAAAAGGCAGTTTCAGAACCAATGTCAAATAGACATTTAATCCTTGGTTCATTGAAGTTGCTGGTTGTTTGTTTGAGCTGGTAAGTTTAAATAAGAATGCTTATCACAATCTCTCTCTCTCTATATATATTTATGTGTGTATGTAAAGTACATTATTTCTTTTTTCTATTATTTTCTGAATTCACAGAGGCATAGCTCTCATACAAAATCTTGCAGTTGACTTCCTTACTTGCTGAGATTGGGTTGAACATTCAAGAAGCACACGCTTTCTCTACTACTGACGGCTACTCCTTGGATGTCTTTGTGGTTGATGGTTGGCCATTTGAGGTACCCAAATTGTCCACTCATTTAACAGGGTAGCACTTTGAATAACTTAAGTCTCATAAATCTGGAAACTGTTTTTACACAAAAATAACTTCTTGTGAAACTGTGTTGAAAATTTCCAGGAAATAGAGCAGCTCAGAATAGCATTGGAAAAGGAAGTTCTCAGGATTGAGGCAAGTACTTGGCTTTCACTTATTGCAATGAAATTTTATCTTAATTGCTTGTAGAGTCCACCAAAATTCATCCATGGAAATCCTGTGTTTTAGGTTCTAGTTTTATATCCTTTAGATGCTTATCTTAGATTTTTTTTTTTTTTCTTCTACATCTGTTGTGAATTTATTGTCAACCAAAGTTGCATATTTGTGGTATTAGAGTAAAAAAGAAAAAACATTAAGATTCTGTGGTAGTATGGACATTTTCAAATCTTGGGGTGCTATAATTATAGCTGTATGTGGAATAAGATAACTAATAAAAATAAAGAGAACTTGAGGGCAATATGCATAATTCTAGAGAAATATGTGTCCCGTACCATGCCTCTCCAAACAATAACATAGGACTGCTCCTGCTTAAATTCCTTTGATTTATTCATAAATCATGTGTCGAATGCAGTCCAACTTTTTTCCATGCACTATTTTTCTGTTAAGGATGTGGAAGTATGCAAACATTGCTCATCTTCTCTGTTTTTTTCTCAAATTTCAAGCTACAACACGTGATAAAAATGATGATAGATGGTTCATGTAATGATCTTTTCATTGTTCTAATTTAGTGAAAAGTAATTGAGCTTCATAGTCTGTGATTTCATTCCTTGTGTCTTCATTACCAAATGCATTTTCAATTGATGTTGAATGTGTTTTGAAGCAGAAGCAGAATTGGCCAAATAATCATTCATTATCGCCTACTAGTGAGCATGAGCAGACCCAAATCGATTGTAGTCCTGTTCATGTCACTATACCTAGTGATGGGACTGACGTTTGGGAAATTGATCCTAAGAACTTGAAGTTTGAGAACAAAGTTGCATCTGGGTCATATGGCGATCTGTAAGTTTAATCTTTCTTGGACACAACTGCTGATTATGTTGGAATTCCATTTATCTGCATTGGTCACTTGATTTAGGTACAAGGGTACATACTGCAGTCAGGAGGTGGCTATTAAAATCCTCAAGCCTGAGCGTATAAATTCGGATTTGCAGAAAGAGTTTGCCCAGGAAGTCTTCATAATGAGGTTTGATATGTCATTTAGCTGCTTTATCATCTGTGTAACTATGCTGGAAGTTTTCCAATGATTTAGGACTACTGAACAATTCAGAGTTAAATCATCTACAGTAGTACCAACAATTTAGGTTTGATTTGTTCCTAACCCTGTTTTGACATGATCTTTTTGAATTTGCAGGAAGGTTCGACATAAGAATGTTGTACAGTTTATAGGTGCATGTACCAAGCCTCCGAGTTTGTGCATTGTAACAGGCAAGTACACGAGGTTTTGAATAAATGTTCATCCCAAGAAAAATTTATCATTCTATTTACTTCATTTCTTTTTGCTCTTTTGCCTTCTGTTGTTAAATAGAATTTATGTCTGGTGGAAGCGTATATGATTATCTACACAAACAGAAGGGTATTTTTAAGCTTCCATCCCTGCTTAAAGTAGCAATAGACGTTTCCAAAGGAATGAACTACTTGCACCAAAATAATATAATCCACAGGGATTTGAAGGCTGCAAACCTTCTCATGGATGAAAATGAAGTAAGATTTTTCCTTAACTATTCATCATTTCTCTTTATCTCATGCACTATTTTGTTTTTCTTTTTTCCTCTGTTGATGCCTTTTATTTTTGAGAGGCAGCCTATCTAGTTACAATGTAGAATTTAGCTGCCTGTTATTGTCGGAAAGTTCTAAAGTTTGGCATCCGATAGCTTACTCCTAGGTGACTTGCACTAGAGCCCTCCCCACCAAAATAATAATAAGCAGAAGGTCTGCTTCCAGTGAATGAAGAATTGAAGTGTTTTGTTGTTAGTTTAAATTGTTAGTTGTCCTTAGATTATTGATGGAGGTTGATATTTCTACCTTTATTTGGGCTTAATGGGTTAGTAATGCCCCACCTTATGACTTTTGCAATTCTATTCTATTTTAAAAAATTCAAGTGATTATTCTCCAAGTTGAAAGGTTGTTTACAATTATACCCATAGGCTGAGCCTTTTTTGGGGTTCAATGCACAGTTTTGAAAGCACAAAGTTCAGTTTTCGGCTTAAATGGAAGAACCAAAAATTTTTGGTTCATTTTTGGTTTCATGCAGCTACAAAAAAAAAAAAAAAAAAAAAAACTATTGGACAAGTTTTACAAATCAACTGACCGGTTTTTTGAATAAATGTTCAATCCAAGAAAAATTTTATCTCGGGATCAATAACTGGGACCTTTAATATATACAATTCAATCTCTATTTTCTGTTGGCTGAACTACTCTTGTGGGCCTTCTGTTGTTAAATAGAACTTTTTTTAGATCATTGGTAGGAAAGGCTTATATAAAATTAATCTAACACAACAGAATAGGGTTATTTTGGGGTGGAGGAGCTTTCACCATCCCTGAACTTTTAAAGTATTCCGCAATAGCGTTTCCAAAGGAATGAACTACTTGCAACCAATATATACTATTAAAATCCACAGGAGTTATTTTAGAAGGCTAGATCATATATGGCCTTATATCATCACTGGACTATGAAAGTGAAGTATAAAGAATTTTTTCTATTTAACTAATTCAATCATTTCTCTTTATTCTCAGCAACTAAATTTTTTTTTTTTGGGGCTTAATTGCTATGTCTTTTCTCCTCTGATATTGATAAATTTCGCCTATATTATTTTTGAGTAGGCAGCTATCTAGTTTACAATGTTTATATGAACTCTCTAAGCTTGCCCTGTTATTTGTCGGTAAAGGGGTTCACTAAATATATTTGTTTCTGGCATTTTTACCGATAGCATTTCTAATCCTAAGGATTGACACTTGCACTAGAGCAACAACACCGCATTAATTACACTTACCCCAATTAATAATAATAAGCAGAAGGTCCTGCTTCCAGTCGAATACGCAAAAAGTGCATTTGACAAACACGCTGATTTTTGATGTGTTAGTTTAAACTATAGCGATTAAGTACACATCTAAAATAGTTGTTGGCACATTCAAAGAGGGCATTATTGAGACTACGGAGGTTGATACTTGTCATATCCTTTAATTTGGGCTTAATGGGTTAGGCACGAAAATAGGGCGACCACTCAACCCACTTAATGGCTTTGTATCATAATTACTATTCTATTTTAAAAAATTCCAAGGTGATTATTCTCCCAACGTTTGAAGGTTGTTTACAATTATACCCATAGGCTGAGCCGCTCTTTTGGGGTTCAACGAATAGCGGCACTATACTATGAAAGCACACAAAAAAGTTATCAGTTTATAACACGCATCCGGCTATTATAAATAATGGAAGAACCAAAAAATGTCTTTGAGTTCAATATTTATGGGATTTCATGGACAGCAGCACTTCAACAATAAAAAAATAAAAAAAAACAAAAAGTTTCAAATAAAAAAAAAAAAAAAAAAAAAAAAAGTTTCAAAACCGAACTGAACAAATTTGGTTTCGTTTTACTTTCGGAAATTTTGTTTGGCTGGATATACTTCGGATCGGTTTTGAATTGAATCGACTATTTGCATGCCCTTATATACCCAGCTTAATGTGGCTTATTTACCTTCAATTTTTTGACTTGTTACATTGCACCCATTTCTTAATTTGTTACCATTCCCCTAATATGGAAGTTTGGGATTAATTGCACATTAAATTTCATTCCAAAATGGTCACTAACTATTTCGTTTGGATTCAATTAAGTCCAATTTTAAGGTTAGGGCGAAATAAGACGATGCTTTTATTTTTGGCTCAATTCAATTTGATTTTTATTCGAAAAAAGTAAAAAAAATCTTTGCACTTTTAAAAGAGAATTTTTTAAAAAAAATGAAATTGAAGCACATTAAAAAAAATAACAAAAATTGGTACTTGAAACCAAAAACCATAAAAATTGATTTCTACAATACTTTTATTTTTGGTTCAATTAAATTCAAGTTTTGTCCAAATAAAAAAAATGAAAAATTATTTTTGCATTTTTAGAGATAAAAAATGAAAAATGAAAAGTGAACTACAAAATATCAAATAAGAAAGACTGAGATTTAAGACTGAAAATGACAAGTTAATTTCGTGTAACTTACAAATGAGTTATTTTTTTATTTTTTAATATTAGTCTTTTGTTTGGACTTTGGATATGGTTCAAAATTACAAAAATAAAAAAACAAATAAATATGATTTTTTTAGTTTTCCATTGGTGGGTTAAACTAAATTAAGTTTGAACATTTATGATATTAAAATATTTAGAGAATTTATCTTTTAAGCATTTTAGTCTTGCAACTCTCTCTCTTTTAAAGTTTTATCTTTTAGAAAACTGAAAAATAATTTTTTGTTTCATTTGAACAAAAATTGGTTTGTCTTAATCCGGTGCTAAACTTAAAATTGGACTTAATTGAATAAAATTGAAATGGTTGGGCACCAATTCAGGATGAATTTTTTTAGGCTGCAATTAATTCCAAACTTGCAAGTTGAGGTATAATAATGACAAATTTGAAAATGTGGAGCAATTGTAACAATTCTCAAATTTCATGGTAAATAAGTATATTAAGCTATTTTATACCCTATTGGTCAAACATTGGAAAAAAAATTATTATATTCTTTTTTTTTTTTTTTTTTAGGTTTATATACATCTTATTTAAAGAATAAACTGCATTAAAATAATCTTTTTTGTTTCGGATATATATTGAAGGGCAATAAAAATCTTAAAGAGAGTTTGTGGGGATCGTTCACTTTTTAGCGGTGCGTTTAAATTCTTTAAACATTTTTTGGAACGTTTTATTGAAAGTAAAACTCTGAAATAGGTTGGGTAAACCACACAGCAATGTGGTTCACGGACTTGCATGAAACAAATCTCTACATTTCTAGGCATAGACAATTAATTTTCTACAAATCTCTTCTTGCCATCATGTCATGTGATGAGTTCAATTTAATAATTGAACAAATTTTGAAACCATTGATGGAGCTATAGATCTTGTTTTAACGAGATTCGTCGGAAAAATTTAGGTGGCCATGTGCATAAATAAGTATAGTTAAGCTACTTTTAACTACGCCTTATTGGTGAGGGTTGACTAGTATGGATATAAATTGAAATTTATTTTTTACTAACTTCTGTTTTTTTTTTTTTTTTTTTTGGGTACGGGACAGGTCCAATAGAGTTAAGAGATCAATTTTTTTTTTTTTTTTTTGACAAGTTACAGGGTAAATAAGCTGTTCTCTAAGAAAAGGGTATTGCAAAAAAATTGTAATGAATTTTTTTAGGGTGCAATGAATTCCAAACTTGCAAGTTGAGGTACAATAATAACAAATTTAAAAATGTGGAGCAATTTTAACAATTCACAAAGTTCATGGTAAATAGGCATATTAAGCTATTTTACACCCTATTGGTAAACATTGAAAAAAAAATTCTATTCTGTATTTATTTTTTTGGTACGGGACAGGTCAAATAGAGTTAAGAGGTCAAGTTTTGTTTTTTCTTTTTTTTTTTTTTTTTTTTTTTTTTTTTTTTTTTTTTTTTTTTTTTTTTTTTTTTTTTTTTTTTTTTTTTTTTTGACAAAGTTACGGGGTAAATAGGTTTTTTTTTTTTTTTTTTTTTTTTTTTTTTTTTTTTTTTTTTTTTTTTTTTTTTTTTTTGACAAAGTTACGGGGTAAATAGGCTGTTCTCTAAGAAAAGGGAATTGCAAAAGAATTGTAATGAATTTGGAGGTATGTGAAATGATTGATGTTATCCTTGAGGAAACATTGTACTTTGAGGAATTCAACATTTATAGTATCATAGATGGTTTTCCTCACCGCACCTACTTATTCTTACAAGTTGTTGCACATTAATTAGAGACATTAGACTAGTTAATGTGAGCAGTTGATTCATGCCAGAATCATTATTAGTGATGTTTTCAAAGAAGCACAGACCTTATGCTCGACATCTGATGGCCAGTGGCAATCTTATGAACAAACCAACATTTTCCAGCTAGTGATCAAATAATTGAAAGTTGTACCTAAATATAAGTCATCTTTTGTGCAATAATAAATTTGCAGCACATGACTGGATAAAGATGAATCCAAGTTGAAAGTACTAAACATTAGAATCTATGAAAAAATTGTTCAAAGTTAAGTGATTCATCCACTACTGAACTTAAGATTATTTACTTGGTGAAATAAGTAGTAATTGTCACATAAAATATGATTAACCTATTGGGGCTTACATTCATTTACGTCTTGATGAAATCAACTTATTTATTATATCATGTGCTTCATTCAATTAATAACATAATGATATATTCTATTTCCTTATGTCAGTGAATCATTAATCCCATGGTTGTAGATGGACCCTCTAAAAATAGAAAAAGCTTCACTTCTTTCTTAATCTTTTCTTAATAAAAGTGGTTGCTTCATTAATTATTGGTTGTAGGAAGACATACATTTCATTTGTGTTCTAATTGTTTCAGGCATGAAAATATGATGCAGACTTGCCATACATAGCTGAAAGATTTCTCATCTTAGTTCTTTACATTTCAGGTGGTTAAGGTTGCTGATTTTGGGGTTGCGAGAGTAAAGGCTCAATCTGGAGTTATGACAGCTGAAACTGGGACCTATAGATGGATGGCTCCTGAGGTGCTCTTCTTTCATGATTAAACCTCAATTATGATTTGGTGCTAACTATTACACTCATGCTTCTCCCCCTGGGTACTTGGGTGAAAGGCTTAGGTGTTGAGCCCATGATTTTTAGCTCTAGAGATAGCATATTTTCAACTAACTCAAATACTCAAACCAAACATACTAGAAAAGTTTGTTCAAACTCAATCCAAAACTGTCCAAAATCCAGAAAATTCAAAATGGATGTGGCTCAAAAATTAACCAGTCAAGTCAAAAAGTATTTGGTCGACCAAAACATTAAAAAGATAATGATTTAGAAAGTTTCAAAATTTGAACCATTAATCTACTAAGTGAATACAACGTTGACAATTTTTTACAGAAAATATCATTTTTTTAAATTCATTGGAGGTTTTTATGGGCCGAAATAACACTACGGGCTACACAACAGGAGTAGCCTCCCTTTGGCTCACTAAATTGGTGAAAACAATTGTGGTCGAGAGTAATCGAACTCTCCTCCCACTCACATAGTAAAAAGACTAACCATACAGAAAATGTCCTTTGTCTTTGTATATTTTATAACAGTTAAATGGTTAGGTAAATTTAAACCCAAAAATATTATAAAAATACTTTTGAAAGTTTCAATTAAAAATATATGAAAAATAATACTCTCTGAGTCTCATATTGAGTTTCCTTTTTGACTTTGGCACGTAGATTAAGAGAAGTCATCTGAAAGTGTTTTTTTGTCTGTTTACTAATTTTACCCTCAAAAATTGTTTTAGAAAATTGGCATAGAGTTGAATGACCCTTTTGAATGGCAATATTCATAATTAAAACAACCTTTGACTTTTTACTTAAAGTGAAAGTGGACCTTCATTTGGGATATCCCAAAATAGTAACGTAGGCACTCATTCTGCAACATTGCGAATGAAAAGCTTCAGATGTAAGAGATTTATTCTAAAGCTTTTTTATACTTTTTTAGAGATTTATTCTATTTTTTTCTTTTTAAGATTTAAGATTTATTCCACTTTGCTTATTACTTAAATCTTCTGAAAATGCATCTCTTGAATTAAATTCGTTTTTCCGGTATAAAATCTTTTCAACTATACTTTTGTTTTTAAAATATTTATTTACCTTCAGTAAATCCAGATGTGAAATAATTTGTTGTAGTAACAACACATTTTCTTTATTTTTAATCAATATGATATATCAGACTACTTTTTTCTTAATAATAGTAAAATATTATGGGCCACCATGCTTGATTCGATCAGAAATCTCTCTCTCACTCTCTCTCATTAGCCAACTCAATGAGAGATGAAGTCCACTTGAAATATCAATTTGACAAGTCTTAAGCCTAAAGCTACTTAAACCTAAACCTAAAAGAGATTGACAAACGCCTCAAGAGATATGATTTGGACCTGCTTTGCATCGCTTGGTTTAATTGTCACCATTGTCTAGCTGCAACTACTAGTGGGGATTTGCAATCTTTGGTTTGTTGCAATCTGCCTTAGTAACCCTAAGCAGAGACCTGTTGAATTTCACGCTTCAAATCACTAGGGCTGCATAAGCAGGATTTAGTACTAATTCTTGGTGCCTGTATTGGAGTGACTAAAGAAGCACTAAAGGTGTGTTAAATTGTATAATTATAATTGGTTTGGATGACCGAGAAAGTCAAAATGAAAAATTCTATATTGATGTATAAAGGTCACATGGTCTTTTTACTTTACTAGCTTGAAAAGATACAAACTACAAAAACTGATGGGTAATATGGTCGTAGTGAGAGCTTCTGAGGAAAGTAATATGGTAAGCCTTATTTTGCATGTGTTCTTTCCCAAAAAAAAAAAAAAAAAAAAAAAAAAAAAAAAAAAAAGGTCGTAGTGAAGCTTTCTGAGGAAAGTAATAATGGTAAGCCTTATTTTGCATGTGTTCTTTTCCCAAAAAAAAAAAAAAAAAAAAAAAAAAAAAAAAAAAAAAAAAAAACTATATATATAATAAATAAATAATAATAAAAGACTGGATGATAGATTTCTCCAAAAAAAAAAAAAAAAAAAACTATATATATAATAAATAAATAAATAAATAAAAGGACTGGATGATAGCTTTCTCCACTATTAAGCAATAAATTATTGTTTAGCTGCGCTGTTTCTTTTCTAATTCACAATCGCGAATATCATTACTATGTTTCGCTTATGTGAAAGCATCTTCTAATTGGTTGCTCATCTCGGCATTTCCTTACAACAGTTGTTTTGCATTGAAGGTCATAGAACACAAACCATATGACCACAAGGCTGATGTTTTTAGTTTCGGGATTGTGCTGTGGGAGTTGTTAACTGGGAAGGTACTTATTTGCTCATTGCAGTATTATCTTGTTCCATTGGAAGTATTTCCACTCTGAAATTGCAGTTTTTGCTCTTTTGGCTCAGCTTCCATACGAGTATTTAACCCCATTACAAGCAGCTGTTGGTGTGGTCCAAAAGGTACATCCCGTTTTTGCAGCTTGTTCACACCATTGAAGTTGTGTATAAATTATGATTTTTCAACAAATAGAGTTTGCAAGAGTATTTGGAATGATATACTCACTAAATGATTTATTCATCCCTTGCTGCACGCATTGACTTGGTTTCAGGGACTACGACCTACAATTCCAAAGAACACTAATTCAAAACTGGCTGAGCTGCTTGAGAGATGTTGGCAGCAAGATCCAGCACTACGACCTGATTTTGCCGAGATTATAGAGATCTTGCGGCAAATAATGAAAGAGGTATCTGCTTATCATGCATGTCCATTGTTTATGCTATTTAGAAAATAACAAGTACCGGAAACCTTTGTTATTTTTAGTCCTAGTTATTAAATTTGCTAACATGGTAGGAATCTGTTTCCTTTGTCGCACATCATGTAAAATTTTAAAAAAATTTCATAGGAGCAATACACAAGTTTTGATCGATGTCATATTTAGGCCTTTCTGTGTCAAAATAAAAAGTCCATGAAGAAATTTCAAAGAACTGCTTAAATTGAAGCATTTTTCTTTTTTTTTTTTTTTTTCATTAACCTTTCCTTAGTCTCCAAGCATTTAATCCATTTCCAGGTCTGACTAGTCTTGGCAATAAGTTATCATTATCATCATCATCATCTATATTCGACTCCTTTTCCCATAGTAAATGATATTAGCTAGACATAATTTCTTTTGATACAGGTTGGAGATGAAAGCGATGGTCGCAAGGACAAATCATCTGGAGGATTCCTCTCTGTCCTTAGAAGAGGGCACCACCACTGAAGTAGATATAAAGATCCGTAACCTGAAGCAATTGCTGCAAATCATCTTTCGTCCATGACGCCATCATTGCTGTACAGTATTTATTCAAAACGATCTATCTTTTTTTATTTTATTTTTATTTTTTCCTTCAGAGAATACAATTTAAGACCAATCGTTCCATTTTCACATTGTTTGATCACAGCATTAATCTGTAGTTAGGGATTGTGTCGCAGATGAACCTTTGTAAGACTGACCATATATCCAGCGGCTTTATGAAAAAAGATAGTACTTTGAGCATTTATGTCAATAATTTCTCTCTTATTTGTAGCAATAGAATGTTAAACGCATAGAAGCCGTTTAAGTACCTTTGAATACGTGAAATTTAAAAAATTCTTTGATTTGAGTCATTATCAGGTTTTATATGAAGTTTAATTTCATCCGTCAGTTTCTGAATTTATGACTAGTGCAAATTAACATGTCTAAATTTCAATTTATAACATAATGCATATAAACGAACTTTGATGATGCAAATATAATATATGAGATTAAGATATTTGCTTTTAACTCTCGATGCCTCCTAAATAGCTCTTATTAGGAATATATATTTAGTTAAATGAGATAATATAAACAAAAAGAAAAATTAGAAGAGAGAGATTATAATGACATGTACAATGTAATCTGTTACAAATTGAAAATTAGGTATATTAAATTTGCACTAGTGATAAATTGGGAAATGATGAGCACTTTTATTTGATGACCAGTAGATCCAGAAGTTTTTGAACTTTACTAGTTTTGGCTATGGAGTCCTCAGAGTTTTGTTATGCGCACTCTGAGCCTTTCTACTATTCTATTTTTCGGTAACATTAGAGACTTTTATCGGATAGGCGTTAAGGAGTATGTGGTCAATGCATCGTCAATATGCGTAAAGTTCCGAATCCATCTAACAGTAATATGAGACGTGATAATTAAAATGGTTTTACAATCCTTAGTTTTGATTAACCTAATAATGTTAGAATGTGAATTATTGTACAAATAGTTGTGGTGCAACCATCATCTTTAAGTTGAAAGTTGCACGCCTAGCATATATTGGGTTCATTAATTTAGCTACCAAACATTTTTACTATTTTTTGTTTTATACTACATTTAGCTTAACTATCTATATATAGAGAACCATCCAAAGCCTGTAAATTGATATAGAAAACTATTTATACAAATTCTTTATTTCATCACCTTTATCTTTTTCTATAGGACGAATTAATTATTGGAAATTCATCAATAATATCCAAAATAACTTTCAACTTCACTTTGATTACATATATAATTAAAACTATATTTATTTGAATTCTGATCCCTCTAAAAATAATTATTATAAACTTTAATTACTTAACATTGATTGTAAGAATATATATATATATATATATACAAGGAAATTTACAACCATAACCCGAACTAATATCAACGTACTGCAATACCAAAATGCTCATACTAATTAAATTACATAAATATTTTTGATTTATTTGTATATACTAAGATTTTCAAATATAAAAAAACATCATATTACAATAAAATTCATGATTTTATTAGTTTGTCTATATATATATTGTCTTTCTCATTTTAAAGGAAATATGGGATACATGAAATGAAACATTAGTTTAATTCTCTTTCTCAATGGCAGAAGCACAAGGGAGAGTCTTAATTCACGTGAATGCCTCTCTCTAAATGCTAGCCATGCAATTATCTCTCCTATCTTTCGTCTTCCAACCACATTTGATGCTTTTGTACAATCTCTCTTTCTTTTGTTGTTGTTGTTTTTTTTTTTTTTTTTTTTTTTTTTTTTTTTTTTTTTTTTTTTTTTTTTTTTTTTTTTTTTTTTTTTTTTTTTTTTTGTTTTTTTTTTTTTTTTTTTTTTTTTTTTTTTTTTTTTTTTTCGTTTTTTTTTTTTTTTTTTTTTTTTTTTTTTTTTTTTTTTTTTTTTTTTTTTTTCGTTCTCAATTTCTGCAATCATCCCTCCTCCCAAGAATTGTTTTTTTTTTTTTTTTTTTTTTTCGTTCTCAATTTCCTGCAAATCATCCCTCCTCCCAAGAATTAAATAATGGTCCCCTAGATTCCAAACACCCCTTTAATTTTCATATTAATTCCTCTATGGAACACAAATACACATAACAAAAGAGATGAATTAAAATAAAAATACAAAAACGGAAGAATGGATTATTCTCCATTGAAGAAATCCTTCAAAGCTCATAGCTCTTACAAACACGCAAGAAAAACATCAGAAGGTGGTAATGGAGGTTCAACAAGCAATAACGACCATGAAGAATTGCCTATTCTTTCTCGCCATCGATCCCATCGTTCAGTTGATACACAACGTCCAACACCTGTAATTTTGGTACCTGATCACGATGAGGTGATTGTCAAAGTGGACGGTTCTTCAAGCTCCGGTTGTTCAAGCTCGGGTAAGCCGCGCAGAGAACCTAGTTTTGGTTTTGTACAAGGTGTAGAAGATCCACCGTCAAAGCTAATCAACCAATTCTTGAACAAACAAAAGAATGCCGGCGGCGAGATTTCTTTGGATATCGATATGGACATGGACGAGATAAGACGCGAATTACACGATCGGAATTTACCGCCTTTTCCTGAATCTCCTAAAAATACACCTTCAAGAGAAATTCGAGTTTCCTTTTCACCTTCTCTTTCTAATCTTGATAGTCCAATTGAGTCTGTTCGAAGGCGGTATAAGGATTTACAAGAAAATAACAACAAAGATGATCCTGCAATGCAATCACAGCAGCAGCAACAGAGATTAGAAGAGGTTTTGCACTGCACATCCAATAAATCGTTTCGAACTCAAACGAGTAGGTTATCAAGATTGAAAACGAAATCAAGGCTTATAGACCCACCGCCGGATGAGATAGGGATGGTATCGGTTAGGTTCCCTCCGAAATCCGGGCAGTTGAAATCTGGGATTATTGGTGGAGGTGGTGGTGGTGGTGGTGACGACGACGAAGAAGACCCATTGGAGGATGAGGACTTACCTGAAGAGTATAAAAGGGCACATTTAAGTATAATTACAGTTCTTCAATGGCTGAGCTTGATTGCAATCATAGCTGCATTGTTTTGTAGTCTTTGTATTGATAGATTAAAGGAAGTGAGTTTCTTAGAGCTTAAACTATGGAAATGGGAAGTTCTACTATTGGTTTTGATATGTGGAAGGTTGGTTTCAGGTTGGGGGATTCGGATAATAGTATTCTTTATTGAGAGGAATTTTCTTCTAAGAAAAAGGGTTTTGTATTTTGTTTATGGGTTAAAGGATGGAGTGCAAAACTGTTGGTGGTTAGGGCTTGTGTTGTTAGCTTGGCATTTTTTGTTTGATCAGAAGGTTGAAAGGGAGACCAAAGGTGACTTACTTCAGTATGTTACTAAAATACTGGTGTGCTTTCTAGTTGCTAATTTTATATGGTTGCTTAAAACTTTAATGGTTAAGGTTCTTGCTTCATCTTTCCATGTTAGTACCTATTTTGATAGGATTCAAGAATCACTGTTTAACCAATATGTTATTGAGACCCTATCTGGTCCGCCATTGATAGAAATACAAAGAAACGAGGAGGAAATAGAGAAAACTGCAGCTGAGGTTAGAAAATTACAAAATGCTGGAGCAACAATGCCTCCCGAACTAAGAGCAGCAGTGTTTTCATCACCAATAAGAGTAACTGCAAGTGATCAAGGTACACAAAAAAGTTTTAGAGGAATGAAAAGCTTCAAATTTTCAGGGCAACTTTCAAAAAAGGGAGAGAAGAAGACAGATAATGGAATCACAATCGATCGCTTACATAGATTAAACCATAAGAATGTTTCGGCTTGGAATATGAAGAGGTTGATGAACATTGTTCGATACGGCTCACTAGCCACTTTGGATGAGCAAATATTAGGTTCAACTGATGCTGGTGATGAATCTGCAACAGCAATCAAAAGTGAAAACGAAGCTAAAGCCGCAGCAAGAAAAATATTTCTTAATGTGGCTTGTCAAGGATCAAAGTAAGATTTTTAGAGAATGACTTGTCCGGATCCGATCTATGACTGGGGGTCTGAGCAAATTTTATCCAAAATTTTTAACTGAGGGACGCACGGCTGGCATGAGCCACCGCCCCTCTAAACTTTCAAATGTCATTTTTAGTACATTAAATGTGTCCCTTGGGTATAAATCTTGCGTCGGTCGCTGGTCATACAGACACAATTTTCTTTATAATCTATTTTCGGTTTATAAAGGGCTCCTTAACTAATTTACTTGGTAGGTACATATATGAAGAGGATTTGATGCGATTTATGCAAGAAGATGAGGTTCTGAAAACGATGAATTTCTTTGAAGGAGCATCTGAACGCAGAAGGATCAGTAAATCTTCTTTAAAGAATTGGGTGGTAAGAATTAATTAAAATGAATCATTCAGTCATATTCAGTAAATCTTGTTTCTATTTCAATTTGATTTTTTGTAGGTAAATGCTTTTAGAGAGAGGAGAGCACTTGCTTTGACGTTAAATGACACGAAGACAGCAGTGAACAAACTCCATCAAGTGGTAAACATGTTAGTTAGCATCATCATAGTTGTGATATGGCTTCTCATACTTGGAATTACCACCAGTAAATTTGTGCTCGTCATGGGATCACAAATTGTTGTGGTTTCCTTCATTTTTGGAAATACTGCCAAGACCTTGTTTGAATCAATTATCTTCCTATTCGTCGTTCACCCATTTGATGTTGGTGACAGGTGCGAAGTCGATGGATTGCAGGTATATATAATTTGTTTTTCCTTTTCATATACATACACATTGGTGTTAACTGCTGAGATTTCTTACAGTTGGTGGTTGAAGAGATGAACATCCTAACTACCGTTTTCCTGAGAGCCGACAACCTTAAAGTTGTATATCATAACAACATTCTTGCCACTAAGTCGATCGGCAATTACTATCGTAGTCCCGATATGGGCGATGCAATTGAATTCTACGTCCATATATCTACTCCAGCAGAAAAATTGGCTCTCATGAAACAGAGACTGATAAGGTAAAACATTTTGCTCTCTTTCTTTTCAATAAGTTATAAACTAAAGATGAACAACATTAGTCAATTTGTTTTTCATGGATGTTGCAGTTACATTGAGGGAAAGAAAGAGCATTGGTATCCGAATCCAATGGTTGTACTAAAGGAATTGGATGGTTTGAACAAAGTGAAAGTGGCACTTTGGCTAAATCATAGAATGAATCACCAGGACATTGGAGAGAGATTTGAAAGAAGATCCAGTTTAATGGAAGAGATGATTAAGATATTCCAGGAACTTGACATTCAATACCGTTTATATCCTCTTGATATAAACATTCAGTCTATGCCTCCTTTCCCTTCTTGAATTTATTATTATTATTATTATTATTTTTTGGAGCTAATATGTGATCATTGCCCTTGCTCTATGTTGGATCAAGTGAGAATCTACTTGTGTGAAGTAAATAGTGTTCTTCATCTTTCTAACTTGGCAGAACAATATCCTTCGAGTGTGCATGTCCTTGATCAAGTTCTAGACTCTTCGAACCAGTAGCAATGTACATCTTGTTAAATATGGCATTGTATAGGTAATTTAATGTATCATTGATCTAATATGTTAATATTTATAGTTTGCTTCTTCCGAACAAGAGTTTTTTACACCTTTTATGTTCTATTTTTTTTTTTTTTTTTTTTTTTTTTTTTTTCGAATCAGCGATGAAAGAAACTAACTTTTATAAAATTTAAAATTTCCAGAAAAAGAAACTTGGCCGAAGCGGCTGACCCTAGTCAACAGGCGTTTTCTCGAGTAACACCCCAAGCCGCTGATGGCCTAGTCTAAAAGGAATGTTAAGTTAAAAAATAGTTGATTAATTATTACTTAATAGAGTTGATTCATTGGAATAACAGTTTTTTTGAAAGACCTGTTACATCCGTGTAATGTTTTCATGTAAAGTTTTTGAGATTTTCTGTTTGATAAAATCAATATTAATCTTATGCGGTGCTCCATAAATAATAAATTAAAATATGGAATCTGCGCTCCAATCCAAAGACACCATGTAATCTACAGGTGATAGCATCATTTAAGCAAAAAATATTCGTATATGAACTCTGTGACTAACCCACACTATCTGTGATATAATTGCTAGCCATCAGGTATATAACATTGTGACTACCACTATTTTTTTTTTTTTTTTTTTTTTTTTTCAATCAGCAAAAACTAACTTTATAAATTAAAATTCCAGAAAGAAACTTGCCGACGGCTGACCCTAGTCAACAGGCTTTCTCATAACACCCCAACCTGACCTATCTAAAGAATGTTAAGTTAAAAAATAATTTATTAATATTTATAGTTGATTCATTGGAATAAGAGTTTTTTAAACCTTACATCCTGTAATTTTTCATGTAAAGTTTTGGAATTTCTTTTATTAAATCAAATATTAATCTTTCGTTCTCATAATAATAAATTAAATATGAATCTCCTCAATCCAAACACATTAATCTACAGGATAGCATATTTAGCAAAAATATGAACTTGTACTACCACTATCTGTGAATAATGCAGCATCAGTATTTAACTTGTACTACCACTAGGTGGAGGAGATCATCCATGAAACAACAACATCTCCTTTAAAATTCCAAAAAAAAGAATGTTTATATTTTACTTATATTTTTCTTTTTCTTTATCTTTTTTCTAAATAAACTCTTTTCCATTAAAATCAAATATTTAAAAAACAATTGTGAAAAATAACAACGTAAAATTTTCAAATATCTCATTATTCATACATATATTTTAAAAAACATAAATTAGAAAAAGTAAAATTTTAAAAAGTTTGAATCGCATAATTACCTATTAAATATTAAAATTACAATCCAATATTAAAAATAACTACTATAAACAATTCTTTAAGATAAATTTATAGTTGGCTGTGGGACATGGACGAAAATGATGTTTTTTTAAAAACTATTTACAAATGTAATACTAAATTGAAACTATTTACAAGTTGAATGTTTGTCTTGCCACAAAAATACCAAACAAAAAGTAATCAGAAATATAAATAATGATTTTTATTTTGTAGAGAAACCATCAAATGAAGCGTTGGTTTTGATATAAAAAAATTTAATTATCAAATAATATTTTTACTAAGATACATAATTCAGTTGGCGATTTTAGTATAAATATAGGATATGACCACCAGTCAGCAAAAAGTATATAAGAAAATAATGTTTTGATAAGAATCCACCAATTTAACTAATGGTTTCAAAAATTAAACATCCTAATTAATTTTTTCTCTTTTTTCTCTGTAGTCGTCTGACCTTAATTTTAATTTGGAGTTATTGTTGATCATCATCGGCGGAAGCTCATTCATACCTTCTACTATTTCTTTCATTTTTAATCTTTTATTCCCTTTAATAAATTTCAATTGTTTTTCCTATAATAGATTTATTTTTTCTTAGTTTTTGTTGATGTTGTTTTATCTCCATACTTGGAGTTTTTTTTGTCCCTTCATTGTGAAGGTTTGGTCTCTTTTTTGTGAGGGTTTATCACTAAATAAAAGTATGATATTTAAGTTTATTTGATTGGAGAGTTTAGATTTTGATTTACAGATGTGGAAGTGTATACATTCATTGATGTTATTGATGCAAGATGGTGGAAACTCATCTATGTTCGTTATATGTTGCAAGTTCTTAGGAAAAACAATCTAGGTATAAAAGATTCAAATGAATTATTATTTTGACGTTCAAATCAATTAATGAACTAGTTGTTACTTTGAAAATTTATATATTTTGTCAAGATCGTTTTCAAGTGGAAAAATCTTATATTATATCTTTTAATTTTAATTTTATTATTCAAAAGAATATAAATTCTTTTGGTCTGTTACAAAGGCAACGGACTCTATTATATATTGATAGTAAAGTATCCATTATAATACTTGATATTATTATTAACAGATTATATTTTTAAAAAAAAAAACTAATGGTTTCAATAAAATTTGTTTATTCAAAGTATCTTTTCATTAGAACACACACTTATGTTTGATGGTTTTGATGTATAGATATTTCAAGTTAAGCAATAAACACATAAGTTCCATTACATCAATATAAATTAAAAATATTAATAAATTACTTCGAGTTGAACTTATGTTAAAAATATATTAATAATTAACACATGATAAATATCTTTGACATCTGATCTGAAATCTAATTAAATAAAATTTATGTTTTCTGGGCAATTTGAACAAATACTTCAATCGACTTCTTGAGCTTTTAATCTTGTGATGGTCTTCAACTGTTTTGGAAGACAGTTCTGCTTGCATTTCGAGGCATTCCAGCTAGGTATGGCACCATCATATATGGCCTTTTTACGTTTTATGGGTGATGATAATGAAGCGAAGAAATTTAGCTACAGCTTAGAAGTTGGTGGAAATGGCCGCAAGCTGATATGGCAGGGAATTCCCAGAAGCATCCGTGACGGTCACAGGAAAGTTCGTGATAGCCAGGATGGAGCTGGACTCATTATTCAGAGGAGTTTGGCTCTCTATTTTTCTGGTGGATATAGGCAAGAGCTGAAGTTGAGGGTTACAGGCCGCATATTGAAAGAAGAATGAGAGAAAAATAATGTTCAGTTGATTGTACAGTATGCAAAACTTATGTAATGCAAGCTCAGAGCGGCAAAGCTTCAGTTATTCTACCCGGTGTTTATGATTGAGGTCTTCAACAATCTGTTGTCTCACGACTCCACGGAGCAGATTCCAGTTGAGTGTGCAGGAGGTGGAAACTGCATGTTAAAATTCATGCTGCAAAATGCATGTTTCGCAAATTAAACATGTTATTAAATGTGCCATTTTCTGTTCTGTTTATGTTTTCTATGTACCATATGCCCTGATTGAAATGAGAAGGAATAAAGGTCCAGTCTCTTTGCTTAATTATGTCCATCTCTTTTTTGCGAATGTACCTGGTTCATATTCTTGGAAGACAGAATCTGCGGTCCGCCCTTTTGTTCTTTTCTGCCGCGTTTTTAACTATCCGCGTTAGCTTGAACCAAATCCTCAAGTTAATGGAAACCAAAATCCTAATCTCCTCAGGTAAAGGAAAAAGATATTGCATATAATATATAAACCAAAATCTCGATACTCAAAGCAATTTTCCTTTTCTGTTGCGTCTTCTTTTACTCTTGAGTCTTTGATCGTCATCAACCATGCCTTCGGCAAGAACTTTTGCAAGGAAAATCAGCTCGCTAATTAGCAGAAACAAGTTCTCTTCTTCTTCTTATAAGCCGCTCTCCACGTGCTTGTCAGAGAATGCGAGAGCGCAACAGGTTCGAAGAGGCCACATAGCCATGTACGTCGGAGACGAGCGCAGAAGATACGAAGTTCCATTGAAAAGTTTGAAATTTCCGGCGTTGCAAGAATTGATCAAGCAGTCCCAGGACGATGACTTCGACTTGAAGATTGACGGGCCAATTATTCTTGCTTCTTGCACTCCCAATATGTTCGAGCAACTGTTGAAGCGCGCCAAAGAGTTTGCGTGATATCAGAATCAGATCATGATTAATACCCAATTACATCAAATTGAAAATGCCCTACTCTTTCCCAAACACCAATTGGGTCATGGTTCTTCCTCGTAACGTGAAGATGAGAGTCGCCCCGTAGCCAAAGGAGTAGATGGTTTCTTCTTTACTGTATATGATCAATCCGGTACGGCGGTACAGGGGAATTGGAAATTGATGTCCCATTATTTTTGTTTTGATTCCAATTTGTAATGCATATACCCAATTAATATTTTGATTCAAGGTTCATATATTTCTTGATTCTGTTGCATTTATATGTGATGATTCTTGTTTTTATCCCTGCAAGGAATATATTCCCTCTCCGCTCGCTTATGAGAAAATTTTTCAATATAAAATATAATTTGAGTTCAAAGATTTATGAAACCCAAAAATCAGCTTTTGTATAATTTTCCTTCTAAATTTGTACTAAAAGACCAAAAAATCTAATTTTTTATCCAAAAGAAAATAAATATTAACTTAAATCAAAATATAATTGAAAAATAGTAATTAAATATTTAGTTTAGATGAAATATACTTAAATAATAATTAAACAATAAATAATAAATATTTTTCAAACCAAATTTTCATGCAATCAAATTATTAATATATAATTTTTTAAATTCACATATTTCATTTAATTATTCTTACCAAATTTCCATGTAATCAAATTATAAATCTATAATTTTTAAATTCAAATATTTTATTTAATTATTTTTAAAATCAAAGATAAGAAACTGTAATTTTTTACTATTATTGTTATTTTTTAAAATATTTTTTATTTTCTAACTTTAAACCTTTTAATAATTTTATTAGTTAAAAATATTAAAAATTATTTTTTATGAAAAATTGGGATTTTGATTTTTTTGGTGCAAATTGTGAAGCCAGTTATATAAAAAGCTAATTTTTAAATAAATTCATTATTGTCGTCAAATTGAGAAGGCAAATTAAGATTTATTTCTAATAAAAACTGCTGATTATTTTTTTCTCCTCTCTCTGCTTACGGAAAAAGGAAATAACAGAAAAAAAAAAAAAAAAAAAAGGGATTAAATCGCTTAGTCAGAGCAGCGTTCACGATCACCCCACAAAGAATGCAGTGAACTAATTTCCTCACCAAACTAACGCAGAGAGAAAAGAAGGAGAATCCATGGCGGCATCAAAGCTACATGCTATCTGGAATCACCCAGCTGGACCTAAAACGAGTGAGTTCGCTTAGAGGCTATATTTTTAGACCTTTTCCTTTTATGATTTCTTAAAAATCCTTTGGGCGATGAATAAGAAATTAGAAATCATCGTAAATATATCTAAATGAATAGTTTCAACATGTAATACTATCTCCTCAATTCAACTGATTTACATGATGTGCAACTCCGATTGAAACCCAGATATCATTTTTCTTCTCGTTCTGTAGCATTTATTTTCTAAAAACCCCACCTTCTGATCAACAATTTTATGCCACTAAACTCTGCTAGTGTAAATGCATGATCTGTAGGGTGAATATTTTCCGCTTTACTTACCATAATTCCATGCTTTTTTGCAGTTCACTTTTGGGCACCGACTTTTAAATGGGGAATTAGCATAGCAAACATTGCAGATTTCTCTAAACCACCTGAAAAAATTTCATATCCTCAGCAGATAGGTGTCTTCCTTTTTTCTCCAACAATTTTATAATTGCATCTATAATTTCTTGTTTCTTTACATCCATGTATCTTATAATAACTCAAGGCCTCTCTGTGACCACTATTCGATTGTCTCTTATTGTGATATGTTATAGACTTAAAATTGTATTTTGGTTTCAGCGGTTACTGCCACTGGGCTTATATGGTCGCGCTACAGCATGGTAATCACGCCGGTAAGATTGGAATTTGATGAAATCTGCCATAAACTGAGATAAAAGAAGGATGGTGTGTTAGCTATGACAGTCTCATTTTATGCTCATTTGAAGTAATAATGTATCTTGTAAACATGGCAGATGTTGGTTATACCATTAGCTTATTCCTTTTTTATTGTTCAATATTGGCTTTCATGCAATACAATCTTGGTTAACTCTGGTTGTTTACTGATCTTAATCATAATAGTTTAGCTCCAAGTTATTTAAATGGGTGATTTATTGTCCTCTTGGAGAAAGCTTTTGTTGGTTTTAATTCTTGTTAAACTTTGATCTGAATTGCAGAAAAATTGGAATCTATTTAGTGTAAACGTTGCAATGGCCGCGACAGGCCTCTACCAACTCTCACGCAAATTAAAGTAAGTTCTATTCAAATTACTGTCATCCGTTTCCATGGAACTCATGGCTTTATGGTTCAAAGTACTGGCATAGGAAGGTTAGAATCTCTTTCTATATTTTTTTCCCTTGTTCCATCAAATGTGTAAGAAAATGGGGGGGTGCCTCGCTTCTTCCTAGAATCCATCCATTCCAATACCAGTAAGATTTGAATCCAAGATCTCCTCATGGAAATGTTAAGCTCTAACTGACACCCAATCCAATATTCTTGCTTATCTATTGTGCTATTGCTTATATAGATGATATCCCCATTAGATACCTCTAATTAAATGTTTCCACATTTCTAGGCATGATTACTTTTCTGAGGCAGAAGCTGCTGCTGCAAAGGAATGAAGATGAAAATCTGCTAAAGTTCCTCTGGTTTCCTTCAGTGCAGAAGCCGGTTTGCCTTCTCGCCTTGCAATTAGTTCAACATTTTCAATCTATGATTTAAGTTTGTATCTCTCTGGAGCTTTCTACACTTTGGTATTCTATGATGTAGAAATTGTAGGCGGATGTTGACTGTTGTGCTTGAAAGGCCAGAACATTATGAACAGGAAAAGTTATTAATTGACCAAATAAAATATTTTTCAAATCTCTTTTTGTTCTGTCATGTTCATTCTGTAGTCTTTGAGTGAATAATTTATTTCATTTCGCAAACAAGCAATATTGGCCAGCACAATATTGTAGACTTGTTATTAATTAATTGTTAAGTTATTTTTCTTGTTAATGGAACATTTTTTTTTCAATATAACTCACGATATGTGTGTATGTGTTTTTTTCGTTTGGCTTAATTATAAATTTATTGTGTGAATTTTAGAAAACTTTCAAATCTGGCGGAAAGTCCTCTGGTTTCCTTCGCAGGTGGCAGAAGCCGGGTTTGCCTTGCTGCGCCTTGCCAATTACGTTCAAGCATTGTTCAATCTATGGATTTCAAGTTTGTATCTTCTCTGGAGCTTTCGTACACTTTGGTATTCTATGGATGTAGAAAGTTGTAGGCGGATGCTTGAGGCTGTCTGTGCTTGGTGAAAGGCCAGGAACATTATAGACAGGAAAAGTGATTTAATGTGCACGCAAATAAAATATTTTTCAAAATCTCTTTTGTTTTCTGTCATAGTTCATTCTTCCCGCTAGTTTTGAGTGAATAATTTTATGTTCAGTTTCGCAAACAAGCATATTTGCCAGCTCGAGCAAGTGATTGTGTGTAGACTTGATTGAATTAATTGTTTAAGTTATTTCTTGCGTTGTCTGAGATGGAACAGTTTTTTTTCAATATAACTCACGATATGTGGTGTAGGGCGTGTGTTTTTTGCGTTTGGCTTTCAATTAGTAAAGTTTATTAGTGTGAATTTTAGAAGACGTTTCTAGTCTCGGAAAGAAAAAAACATTTGCAATTAAGTAATTTATTGCTGTGACATTTTTAGAAGAACTTGTCTAGTCTGCGAAAAAAAAACATTTGCAAGTTGTGACGCGTAAAGAGTAAACTTATTAAAAGCCACTAAGCTAGAAAGAACCTCTAGTACAAATGTAACAACGATAGAATAAACTCTACATAGCACAAGCGCGCCAAGAACGAAAACTAAGTCAACCAAAATTAAAGTCAGCATTAAATTGGAAAAAAAGAGATAAGAAGAAGAACAAAGTACAGTAGTCCGATATATAAGACTGCATTGATACTTACTGTGTCTGAAGATAATATAAATGAAAGAGAGATAGAGATTACCAATAGAGAGAAAAGGAGGGAGTGGAGTCTAGAGAAAGCGGAAGATGACTTTTGTTTTTGTCTCGAAAAAAAAACATTTGCAATTAAGTGACGTAACAGATAAACTTATTAAAAGCCACTAACTAGAAGAACCTCTATACAAATGTAACAAATAGAATAACCTAACATAGCAAACGCCCAAACAAACTAAGTCAACAAATAAATCAGATTAAAATTGGAAAAAAAAATAAGAAGAAGAACAAAGTACAGGTAGTCCGATATATAAGACTGCACTGATATTACTGGTCTGAAGATAATATAAATTGAAAGAAGAAGAGATTACCAAGAGAGAAAAGAGGGAGTGGATCTAAGAAAGGAATGACTTTGTTTTTGTCGTTTGGCGCTCTTTCGGCATCGAAGGGAAGCCAAATGGCTTAGGACATTCCAACATACTTTATGAAATCTCCCTAGTCATCATTGTCGTTGCTTGAAGCCGAATCTCGGCCATTGACAAAAGTGATATTGGAATGGACTGTCGGATTCGATGGCGCGACCCAAAACTGATTGCAAAGATTGGTATAAGAGGAAGGGCGAGGATGTCCCTGACTCAGCTAGTGCAATAAAACTCGCCAGCGGAGGCGGTGGTGGCCGGAGTCACGAACTGCCCTCCTCTTACTTGTCCTTTCGCGCAATAGAGGGTCAAAGGAAGAATCACTTTTGGGTCACGAAAAGTGACCAAAGGTGATGGTCGCTTATTGCTTCGCCGGTGATGGTGGCGCTAGTAACCGGGACCAAGCTGGGGTTCATGGAGAAAGAAGAACGAAGAGGATTGTAGATGATTTTTTGTTCGGTTCGTATTAATTAAGCAATATCAGTTTGATGTACTTCACTGCTGGGCATGTCAAATCCGACGTATCAATCTATTTGACTAACGGCAATTTTAACAATTAGTATGTCCCACGTGTCCTGCTCATTTTTTCGGTAAACCACGCGGTACAGAGCATTTGATTGAAAAAAATTTATGAGTTTCGATATTTAATTACAAATCTTTTAGGTTGAAACACTGAAATAAAAATTTTTGAAAATTTAGACACAAAATTTATAATTAGGCATTTTCTTTTTGTAAGGAGTGAAATAAATCTCATGCTTGTCATATTATTATTTATCTTATTTCGTTAAAATATATATTTAACTAAATAATTAATTTTAAATTACAAAATGATTATTTTTAATTTAAAAAATTAATATTAAATTAAATATATATCTAAAAGTTTCGTATAAAATAGTTAGTCAATTTTTTACTTACAAATTATATTTTAATTTGGTGCAAACCAACTTAATAATAATAATAATAATAATTAAGTGGCTGAGTACCACTTGGACCGGCTCTCGTTTAGCAAAAACTGGTACTGCAATGTATTTAGAAAAAAGGAATCAATTCACCTTTTTTTTGCAATTTTTTTTATATATATTCAGTATAATTCTTCAATTGATCCCTGTTCCTAAGTAAAAAATTTTGAATATTTTAATATTGATCCTGGAAAGAAAAAAAAATGGCCAATACATACATTTGACCTTATACTTTTGAAAAAAAAAAAAAACTCTACGACATCTTTAATTTTGTAGGAGACTAATTATGCATCTCAACTCCATTTTTTTGCTGACGTTCCTACACCTCTTCATATTATATTGGCAGATCAAAGTGTGGATACAATCGCTCCAAAGAGCGTTAATTGAATTTACAAAGGTCAATGTGGAAAAACCTTGTCCAACTTGGCTCTTAGTACATGGAAAGTCTCCATCCATTTCATAACCACTTTCCCTCTTCTCTTCTACCTAAACTAAAGTTTTACTCGTTAAAAAGCAACTTGCAATCCTTCTCTCCCTCTCTGTGTCAACGACTTGAGTGTAAGAAAAATTATTTTGGGCTTATTCTTCGTGAATTTTTGGAGGGAGATATTTTTCATTTTCAACTTTGTCATTTCATATATTTTATAGCTTTTATTTTGTAGATTTCGGTTCTTGAAGAGGTTTTTGGAGAGTAAACTCTTACTTTGTTGTTTTGTTTTATTCTTTTCCTCTATAATTCTCTACTTGTATATAGAGATTTCCTCTGCTCTTCATCTCTTGACTCGAACTCTCCAAGTTTTTTCTTCTTTCAATTTTTGTCACTCAAAGCTAAAATTCAATCCTGTCGTGTGACCTCGCATGTGTGCACCACCTCATCTTGAATTCATACATGCAGAAATGATCGCACAAGAAAGCATCTACAGCAAAGTCCAGATTATCGCTCAACGAATCAGGCACGTTCAGTGGTAGGTGACAGCGGAGTTGGGACCTAAGATCGGTGGTATGTTGGTTGTGGAAAATAATGCTAAGTTGTCCTTTTTATCTCTTTACTTAGCTTTTTTTTTTTTTCAAATTGCTGATCTGGAAATTAAAATGAGTTCCACTTTGAATTACTTATCTTACTCTCTAGGTTTGTAATTTAGACGCTTATATCAGATTGGAGAAGTGCTTACTTGGTGCAAAAAAATTAACTTGAGATGCACAAATGGTCTCATGCAAAATTAAGAATGTCGTATGATTATTTTTTAAAAGTTCAAGGGGTAATATATGTATTTGGCCAAAAAAATATTCTAAAATTTCGCCATTGGATGTAATGTGGCAATGGGTTATCACTTTATTTAGTTAGTTAATGGTGGTCGGCTTGGTTTTTATTTCTGGAAAAAAAAAAAAAAAAAGGAGAAGCTTGAAAAAGAAGAATTTTATATTTACCAGATGTGAGGGGAACAATGTATAGTTTTTCTAATAACATAAATACTCTTTTGTCCATAAATATAAATTTGATTTTCATTTTTTAGTTATGTGAAGTTATTAGTCACTTTTCATTCTAAATGTATAATTAAATTATGCGAAAACTCACGCTTTACGCAAATTGTTATATTATTCTACATTATATACATTATTTATATATTACTTGGTGAGACAACTATAATTACTAGATCTTGATTAATGTAAAAATTTTATTATTTTTATTTATGTGTTTAGATAAATTTTCAACTTATTTAAAATTTTATATATTTGAAAATAAAAATTTAAAAATGAAAATATTAAATTATTAAAATATTAATAGATGTTAGATGACCAATATAAGTACTGATTAAATTTCAAAAAATCTTTATATAGATATCATTAGATTTTTGAACTCATGTTTATTATTCTTAACTTCAAAGTTTTATTAAAAATATTAGATTATTAGATTATTAATTTAAAGTTATTCTTGTTTTTTTTTTTTTTTTTTATATACAAAGTTACTGATTAAACTCTTCAAAAGATCTTTACTACATCATTAGATTTATTGAATTCCTCTTTGATGTCTCTAACCTTCAAAGAGTTAATTAAAAAAATATTAGAAGTGATAGATATATTAATTAAAGTTTATTCTTGTTTCTTTTTTTGTTCTTTTTGCGTTAGAATATGTAAAGAGTATTAAGTTATAAATAATAAAATATGTAAGGAATTCATTTTCAAAGAATAAAAAAGGATGATTATCTAAGCTCACGCGTAAAATTCGATAAGCAGCGAGAGCAAGCAACAAATTTGCTGTTAATTGTCAAGTTTTAGTCTGTTTGAAAATTGATTTTTGCTTGCTACGATATAGTTGTCTTTAGGGTTCATTAAGCCCGGCCAAAAACAGAATATAAGCCGTTGCAATGAAATACTAACAAATATTTTGTTCCTTAAGCGTTTGGGTAATAGTGGAAGTAACTGGTCCACTGGCATAGAGCTTCAAGTGAAAATATCCGAATCTCCTGCAGAGTTAAAGCCACTCAGATGACTTAAAATATTTGTTTAAGTATCGAGAACTCATAGAAATGCATGCGTGTAATCCATTAGAATAAAAGCGC